TGAACTGATTCTAAGTTCCAAAATATTTTTTTGTGGATTCTAGATCGATTTAATCTCATCAGACAAAATATATAACTAGAAAGAAATGAAGTTGCTAGTAGAACTTTCTCCTTAGACATTATATTAAAATAATGGGATGCAGGGGGAGAGAGAATCATTACTAGAAAACTTATCAAAGTTCACATGCAATGTGAGATTTTAAGGGAAAACAATGTGGCATTCCTACTACATTTTCACCCAAAGAACTTTTGAAGTCAAATCTAAATGTCCAAATATGTGTACTGATTTCCCTTTTTTTTTCTTTTCTCCCTACATACAGTCTCTGGGTTAATAAGGAGTTCCATTCCTAATGGTGTCTTTAACTCAAAATTTGTATGTAAGTTGGAATAATACATACGAATGGACTGCCTGTATTAAAAATGGTGGATAGGATTGTCCTTCCTCAAGCTGACAACTACTAAAGTCACCCAATGGTTTCAGAAACCATCAAAAAATGCTAAATACAGGCAGTGTATTAAAAACCTGTGTGGCTTCATTGGTTTCAGCAGTTCATCAGTCTGAAGAAGGAGAATACTATCCACCATTTTTAGTAAAAGGCAGCACGTTTGTAAGTATGGGTTGTCCATAAGATAGATATTCTTAACCCAAGGACTGCCTATGTCTTCCCGTCCGCATATAAATACAAATGCATTTTCATTCAGTGCCGTTTCAAAGTCTTGAAAATAAGAAGTACTGAATTACTACTTTGGTGTTTAATCATACTGCTAATAAAACAAAACAAATGAATAAATTGAATTAAAATATAGAAGACCCAACCAACATCACAGAAGTACACCTCTGGTTCATTCAAGTCTTTTATTTATATCTTTATTATTTGCTATATGCAACCTAAACCATTCCTGATAGTCCTTAGGTTTTAAAAACCTTAAGTTAAATGTGAAATGCTGCAATGGGTAGCATCCAGTATCTTCTCCATTAAACAGAAATAGTAAATATCCAGCAAAGCATGTAGGATAAATAATTATAAGAAATAAGCATTAAATAAATACAAAGTAGCTTGTGTGAGACTTAAAGTTAAAATAATTGTATGAACTGCATATAAACATATGGAATTTATTGCTATTAAATCTATACTGGGCAATAAGACTATTTATTTATTTTTCTTTGATTGAATTAACTGTATATCCATATTTCATTTGGTAGACAAGAGACTTGCTCTTGATATTTGCAATATAAATAATATCAAATAGTAAATCTCTCTAGTTCCATTACTGGAAATGCTGAATCTTACATTAAGAAACTGTTGACTATGGTTTTTAACTGAATACTTTTTAAGAGTGTAAGAAAGCATAAACTCATTAATTCCTAGCCTTCTTTAATCACTTGTACACTCAAAACCAAATAATGAAAAATTGGAAAGTAGATACACATTTATATCAATACAATTAAAATAATTTATAAACATAGTTTAAATCACTAGTATAAAACACACCTCATTTAAAAAAAAATAGTTATTTGAAATTCATTAACACAAATGGGTATTTGTTACAAAAACAATTAAAATGGTTTTGTTTCCCAACAATGCCTTTATATACCATAGAATAGGAGTACCAAACTTTCAAGGGCCTGAACTAACTGGCAGCTGGAAATTGTGTTAAGGATTATTTTCATAAAATATTTGTCTTAATTGTGTGCCATTGAAAAAATTGAAATCTGTCGGCTCTAGCCACTCACCTTTTAAAAAAGATGTCCTTTGGAAATAAGTGGTTTATGTTCAGGATTGATGTATTTGTCTGAAAATAATATTTAAAAAACAATAACCTAAAATCAGAACCTTGGGTTGTAAGCAAGGATTCTGACAATTAGCAGCTCTGAAGGAATGTATGTTTGTCCTATTATTTCTCAGATGCAAACTGAGTTTCTAAACTTAAAAGATATTTATTTCTTTAGTTCAATCTGCAAATTAAAAAATCAGTTATTTTTAAAGGCTGGTTCATATCTCAGAAATGAAAGACAAACGAATAAAATAACAGTTTTCAAAATACTTCTATAAATCAAAGTGTAGTGTAACTTTCAGAGATTATTTTTAGTAGAAGTAAAGAAGGATATGGAATGTTAGAAATAAATCAATGTATAAAGGTAAATTATTTTGACTAAAAATACACTCTGCTGATCAAAATAATTTTAATAAAATTTTACTGAACTTTTTAGCTGCATAAAATATGTGCACAAATATATATTTTTTGCAAATGACTTATTCCACCTGAAAGACCTATTGAGATATACATAGTTTCATGAAAGCTGTTAATTACCCATTGACTCCAACAGCAATTAGGATCCAAAATATTTTTTAAAAAATATTCAGCATAAATCACTATGTGAATAATCATTATTTAAGATTGGGTTTTGTTTAAATATATATGATTAAATCTAGAATTTTTGCTCATAAAAGTTCTTTCCATCTATGAAATAAAATTTAATTTCCAAAAGTACTTTCCCTAAAATGACTGTTGTGAACAGAAATGCTTTCTAATCATCACACAAAGATTAAATGAAACCCAGTTAGCCAGCCAGCCTGCCTGTCTGTTTCTGATGTTTTCTAACAAGAACTTAACACTAGGATGCTGCTAATACAGCTGGGTAATAAGTAAGTCATAAAAACATCATACTAAATATTCCAGGCACTATGATTTTTTTTTTTTTTAGAAATACACTGAAAATGCAAACAAAAGTTTTACGTCTGTGAAACATCAGTTTTAGGGGTCATATTATCTACTTATCACTAGGTTCTTATTTAAATCGCTTTATAATGGGAAAAATGAAAAAAAAATTCAAAGGACAAACTAGATATGATATTTGCTGTTTAACATGCAGGTTTTAAAAAAATGCAAATACCAGATATCAAAGATTTATAATTATTAAAAGTGCAGCTAGCCAAAAAATGAAAAAATTTAAACTCTGTTTCAATTGCAATGTTTTTCAAAATTGTGATCCTCTGAAGCTGTTATTTGCATTGGGAAGAAATTACTTTTTTTACATCCATGCAGAGCAAAGGATAAAAAAGAAGCTACTGGTGCAGAAACATTAAGAAGATTACTTCTGGTTGGTAGAAAAACAGCTGCCACAGAAAAGCAACTGTTAAATTTGTTAAAAGATAAAGAATTAAAAAGAGCACCATATTAAATCAGAACAAACAGCCAAGCATTTTGTTCCTTATGTGGTCAGCCACATACAAGAAACGCTCCATGCCCTACTTACTTACCAATAAAGTTCTCAAAACACAAAAATAAAACTATTTTGGCATTCATAAAAATAATAATAAAGTTTCTTCATTAAACTTAAAGTGGGGCCCACTTTAATGAAGAAGCTTTCTTATTTCTAAGCAAGTTGTAAAACAAATTAAATTCGGCTAGTATCAAACTTTAATCTACTTCCAGGGGCTCCATCATTTCTGCACATTCTAAAAAACTTCAATTGTTCTGAGGCCGCAATTTTCTATCCTTAATTTGAGTTTTGACTTATAAGATTTGTTAGGACAATGAGTAAATAGTTATTCAAAAAGCCATTTAACTGTAATAACATGGGGATAAGAAGATAATAACTTGCCATCTGTTAGCCTGGGCTAGGTAAGTATAAATGTTTACTAAAGTTCAATTAAAATGTTTATTAAAGCCTTTCCTTTTTTATTATCAATTTCCAGTATTCATAGACTTGTACGAATATTAACATAATGAGTTTTGATGATTTAAGCTTCCTTTCTTTGTTTAATTTTATAATCTCTCTTGATCAACCAATATCAACCATTCATACTTGATAGTAATTCTATATCTTGTTTTACTATAACTGATTCATCTTGGTATCTAACTAAAATGTTCAAGTTTTCAACTGTTAAGATCTACAACTGAAGCATTTCAGAAAGACTAAATGGAAAACACCAAAAGGGGGAAACAACCTAATAATGTGCAAAGAACAAGAGATAACAGAAAAAAACAGATAAGTGGTAATAGTCAAATTAGTAAGATCAAACACAGATAGCCTGGCAACCGAACAATAACTATAACAAATGCTTATTGTAGCATTAAACTATATAACATACATCTACTCTTACCAGAATTGAACATATTTTTATGTTTTATTTTGATAGTAATCAAATCCAGAGAAATGATCATAGCAACCTCACATGCTCATCACAAAATAGGGTCACATTATCTGCATGCTGTTGAGCATCTGGTGTAACTGATCCACATACATAAACGTATTTCTGAATACAAACATTAATGGCAGGATCATGGTTACTGCTTAATTTATTCATGAAATAAAATAGTAATTACAATAAAATATCCCCCTTTTTAATAAACAAAAATGTATTAAAATTCAATGCTGCATTACATTTCCTTGCTCACACCAATATAGAGTATTGGATTCTTGCAATACACTTGTAACATTTTCTACCCACCAACTGATTCAGATATTGTTAAGCAAAGGACAAGGCAAACAACTGAAAAGTAGAAGGACTCAACCTCAATTTAACTGTCCTGTAAGGTACATACTAATTAGCTTCAAAGCTATGAAATCCTAGCTAGCATGTTAAGTCTGCTACATGACAGTATAATTTGCCTTCTTAAAGGATTATGCAAATTACAACTCATCATTCCATTACACGACTGAAAAAAGTGACAGCTAATTTATACATAACACACCTTTCAAATCCCTAAGATGTGAAGCACCTGTGCAATATATTTTGCCTAGGTTTTTCTGGCTTTAAGTATTTGTTTACTGCAATATACAGAAGCATACCTAAGAGATTTAATAAAGTCCTAGAGGTTTATTTATTTCCCTTTTAACTTCAAGAGCACAATTCCCAAGTATGAAAACAAAATACTGTATATCTGTTCCCAATTTCAAAGTTATTTCATTCAAGAAGTGTACGTTTCAATACATGTTCAACTTGCTATTCAGAATGGGACAGCACTAATGCACGAGCCAGAAGAAAGACTCACACAGATTTCAACATACTTCTGGTAGGTAGATTCACAGTAGATTCCGTCATATCTGTAGATTTTCCTACATTCTGACTGGTTGGGTAGAGGATGCTGGACAGTTACTCTGTAGAGGCATCAAAAACAGATATACATGACTAGAGATTCTCTACAGTCAACTGTAATGCAGGACAAGTAGTACTTTTTGAGGTACTTTTATTATATGTTAAGTCTTTCTCATCTTGCTATATTAACTACATTATAGATAAATAAATACAAATTAGATTCCATTGCTGGAATACAATTGAAAGTATCTAAAATAAATTATTTATTACAATATATATTCCTCTCCTCAAAATAAAAGAGGACATATATAAAACCTTCAATTTTTAATGAGCATTTGTACATACATATATACTATATGTACATGTGGGTGGGTGGGTGGGTGTACACACACACAAAGTAATCAGATTTACTTTGGGATGTTCAAAACTGTTACAGAATTTGAAAATCCATCTACTTAATAGTCTATTCCTGTTTCCTATGATGACAAAACTCTGGCTAGAAATCTAATTGTCACAGAAATTAAGCATACTACACAATTTATATAATTATAATTAACAATTAAATCAAGGTAGCTTTTTGTATTTAATGATGGTTCTTAAAATTCTTATAAGATTCATTTTAGTTTTTAATCTTTTTGACCAATTTTATATTTTATGGCATTGTATCAGTATGCATAATTATGAATAATAGTTCAAAGGAAATAAAAGTGATTCAATTTGAATCTTTTTCCATCAGTTAAATCTTCATTGAAGTATGATCTCTATTAAGACCTTCCTTCTCAATATTAAAAATCTACTTAGGCAACTCAGCATAACTATGTTTCTTTATAAATATTCTCCTTCTTGATGCTTTACAAAATTTCAATTTTTGGAACAAAATTAACATTAACATTCTTTGAATAAAATCAAAATTATGAAATCAAATTCACTCATATAATCTCCATGCAATCACATTGGGATTTCAATTAAAATATAATTTAAACAGAAACCGATCCATTTATTTTATTTTATTAAATTTGTTTCCTGCCCATCTCACCATGAGGGTACTCCCATTCCACGTAGACCTTTTTTTTTTTTAATTCTATCCAAGTATATTATAGTTTCTGGAACATATGGTTTCCATAATGAACTTCTCAAAGTTTTTAAATAATACTGTTATTTGGTTAGAACAACTCGCAGTGTCTGTAGTTATCTCTCAAACTCAGGCATAAAGAACATTAGTAAAATTCAACAGCAACAGCTTTCATAAAGCAAACCACTAATTTAATTGACAATATATAAAATTCCTAATTCTTGCATAGCTATTACATTTAAACAAGTGAATGGCAGAATCTGAAGATTTGGTAGCATACAGGTGAAACTCGAAAAATTAGAATATCGTGCAAAAGTTCATTTATTTCAGTAATGCAACTTAAAAGGTGAACCTAATATATGAGATAGACTCATTACATGCAAAGCAAGATAGTTCAAGCCGTGATATGTCATAATTGGCTTACAGCTCATGAAAACCCCAAATCCACAATCTCAGAAAATTAGAATATTGTGAAAAGGTTCAATATTCTAGGCTCAAAGTGTCCCACTCTAATCAGCTAATTAAGACATAACACCTGCAAAGGGTTCCTGAGCCTTTAAATGGTCTCTCAGTCTGGTTCAGTAGGAAGCACAATCATGGGAAAGACTGCTGACTGACAGTTGTGCAGAAAACCATCATTGACACCCTCCATAAGAAGGGAAAGCCTCAAAAGGTAATTGCAAAAGAAGTTGGATGTTCCCAAAGTGCTGTATCAAAGCACATTAACAGAAAGTTATGTGGAAGGGAAAAGTGTGGAAGAAAAAGGTACACAAGCAGCAGGGATGACCGCAGCCTGGAGAGGATTGTCAGGAAAAGGCCATTCAAAAGTGTTGGGGATTTTCACAAGGAGTGGACTGAGGCTGGGGTCAGTGCATCAAGAGCCACCATACACAGACGGATCCTGGACATGGGCTTCAAATGTCGTATTCCTCTTGTCAAGCTGCTCCTGAACAACAAACGTCAGAAGCGTCTTACCTGAGCTAAAGAAAAACAGAACTGGTCTGTTGCTCAGTGATCCTCTTTTCTGATGAGAGCAACTTTTGCATCTCATTTGGAAACCATGGACCCAGAGTCTGGAGGAAGAATGGAGAGGCACACACTGCAAGATGCTTGAAATCCAATGTGGAGTTTCCACAGTCTGTGTTGATTTGGGGAGCCATGTCATCTGCTGGTGTTGGTTCACTGTGCTTCATTAAGTCCAGGGTCAACGCAGCCGTCTACCAGGAGATTTTGGAGCACTTCATGCTTCCTTCCACAGACGAGCTTTACGGGGATGCTGACTTCATTTTCCAGCAGGACTTGGCACCTGCCCACACTGCCAAAAGCACCAAAACCTGGTTCAATGACTGTGGGATTACTATGCTTGATTGGCCGGCAAACTTGCCTGACCTGAACCCCATAGAGAATCTATGGGCCATTGCCAAGAGAAAGATGAGAGACATGAGACCGAACAATGCAGAAGAGCTGAAGGCCGCTCTTGAAGCATCCTTGTCTTCCATAACACCTCAGCAGTGCCACAGGCTGATAGCTTCCATGCCACGCCGCATTGAGACAGTAATTGCTGCAAAAGGGGCTCAAACCAAGTACTGAGTACATATGTATGCTTATACTTTTCAGAGGTCCGATATTGTTCTATGTACAATCCTTGTTTTATTGATTGCATGTAATATTCTAATTTGATAGGGGGCGTGCATAAGCGCACCAACGTGCCTACCGTCCCTGTCCTATTGTTTCTCTTATTCTTTTATTTTTCTTATATGTACCCATTTCATGTATTCACAACTATGTATACACTTATACTTATTATCTTGTAAACAATTGGCAAATCAAATAAATAAATAAAATAAATAAATAATTTCCTGAGATCGTGGATTTGGGGTTTTCATGAGCTGTAAGCCATAATCATCTCAATTATGACAAATCACGGCTTGAACTATCTTGCTTTGCATGTAATGAGTCTATCTCATATATTAGGTTCACCTTTTAAGTTGCATTACTGAAATAAATTAACTTTTGAACGATATTCTAATTTTTCAAGTTTCACCTGTATATAGTTCACTGACTATCATGCAAATCATCTGGTAAAAAGATGGTTGCTCATTATGTACAAGTAATAAAAAATGTGGGTGTTTTCATAAAGCTCGTCTTCCAGACAGCTTATCCTGAATTAATTTTGACAAGTTATTCACCAAACAAAGTCTGGTTGTATGAATTCCATATTATGTTGCCAAAGATCAAATTGCATTTGCTATTTTTTTCTAGAAGATCTATAGTCCTTTTCATCTATGCATTTAAATTAATTTCTTCTTTATATTTTTGTGAAGTGAAGAACAGAGTGAAGAACTACTATTTGAGTCTAATCAATCTAAACTGACTAAGTGAAATCACTTTTTTATTCTCTTGGAAAGTATTTCCAAATAAAATTCTCACTCTCAGATGACAATATTTTTGGCAAATTACCTCCATTGTGGAAAAAGTTAATATTTTTATTCACTATGTATTAGCAAGCAACAGCAATACAAGTTTTAGGATATTTTTAATTGAAATTAACAACCTTCAGAAATGTAATGTTTACATCTCCTTTCCTTGAGGAAGGGAAGGAAAGAAAAGGAAAGGAAAGATGGTGGGAAAGGAAAGGAAAGAGAGTACACATTTTTACTAAGTTTCAAAACATCCTTTTATATATTGTTGATTTTGCACATCATTCTCTCCTCTCACCTTGACATGTCACTTCAACTCTAGATGGATGTATCATGTAACTTGAGGAGGAACTTTGAGTGCATTTACATACATGTGAAACATGTAAGGCTATGACTAATTTTAACTGACAGGGCAGAATTTAAATAATTAGTTACAAGAAGTCAAACTAAAAGAAAAAAGGAGGGAAGAGATGGTTAGAGGCAGAGTAGTAAATTGTTCCATTTTTGCAGGTAATCTAAATGCAAACTAGAAGCAACTTATCATGAGAATGGATTTTCCACCATCTGGTCAAATAACAGGGGATTTGTCTAGTGGCAAGCAAAGAATGGAATGATGTGAGAAAGATTAGCGGGCAAGTCCTACAGTTGGCTAAAATGTATTTTGTGCAAACAAGAACAGATGATGCCTTAACAATTACACCTGTCAAAAACTCCAGAAAGCAATCCATCTCTGAACAGCCCAGTTGAAAACAGGCTAGTTCATAACAAAATGAATTTTTTTAAACAATTGCCAGCCATAACAGTTTGATGCATGACAAGCTTAGGAAGTCATATTCCACGTTCAACTGAAACCTTAACTAACTAAACTGTGGCTTTTTGTGATAAGTAAGATATTAAACTGAGAAAAAAATAGAAGTAATGCAAATAATTGTAGCATCTCAAAGGCAAAGAAAGTTGGAATTTCCTTTTACCATACTACTATGTATAAACATTCTAACCCTCAAAATGGTTTCTCTGATTTAAGGGCCAACCTCAATCTGAGAGTGGAGGTATGTTCTCCGAGTTTGGAGAAACTGGGAGAACGTACCTCCACTCTCATCCTATACCCAAGCTCAATCTCAATCTCTATGATATGAACACTATATTTAGCAATAGCTTTTACCAGTCTGTTATTGCTCACAAGTAGCCTAGGAATAGAAATAGATTCTTGCACAGGCCAAACAATATAAGAGTTTGTTGGAAGGCAAGGTCTGTCAAGCATGGTCCTTTCAAGAAATTCCTAACTTACTTTGCTGGCAATTTTCTTCCTCAGAGCATAGATGGCCAGCTACATTTAATGTATTCAAGGAAGCAGAAGAAGCATGGCAAAGTGATTATGTCATGCTGGAGGTCTTGATTTAAGAAAGCAGATTTTAAAGAATTCAGAACAGTGGTAAAAACTGCTGGGAAAGGAAGCTCATAAGAAATGGAACTTCCTGGAAAATGGGTAGACAGAAAGTGCTATTGCAAACAATTTTTGATTTAAAAAGTTAGGGGAAATATGGCT